TGGGTTACAGACAAGGAAGGATGTGACTATCCTGAAATCTTGGGTAATTCCCGCATTCATTGGTTGAAAAGGTTCAAGCACGTGATTGACCCTTTCAGTCCCACCCAGTGCTTAGAGACAGGAGGTATTCCTCAACATTTGGAGTCTTCATCAGGCAGCTGCCTTCTTCAGATAGCAGGTGGATCAGGAATGATGGAGGAAGACCACAAGAAGTGTTCCCTACCACTTTGGCTATTGAATGCATCATATCACAGGGGAGATGATGGCCTAATGGTATTATCGCTGGGCTGTTAATCCAGAGACCTAGAAAATGTTCTGGGGACCAGGGTTCAAATCCCACCATGGCAGATGGTGGAATTTGAATTTGATAAAATATCTGCAATTAAGAATCTAATGATGACCATGAATCCATTGTCGATTTTTATAAAAACCCATCTGGTTCACTAATGTCCTTTAGGGCAGGAAACTGCCATCCTTACCTGGTCTGGCCTACATGTGACTCCAGACCCACAGCAACGTGGTTGACTCTTAACTGCCCTCTGGACAATAAATGCTGCTTAGTGACGTCCTCATGCTGTGAATTTAAAAAAATCTAAATTGTTGCTTTTCAAATAAAATTAAATAAACTACTTTAAAATTATTTATGAATTCTTCACCTGGCATGCCTTCAAGTAAATAGTTGGGGCCCAAGGACCAAACCATGTGGTTCGCTCACTAGTTACATCTTGCCAATCAGAAAAAGACTCATTTATCCCAAACCTCTATCCAAGCTAATACATCACCCCTATCTTCTGTATTAATATTTTGATGGCTTTTTTTCTGGTCAACTAAATAACTGGATACTTGTAACCTGTAACTGTAATGTGTATATTTGTGCCATAAACATCTTATGTCATGCCATTAGCACACATACCCACCCACCAAACTAGCCCCACTAAATTTCTAGGGCAGTCCTCATGAAAATCTGGTTTTCTTTCCCCTCGACACATTGTCCTTAGAAACACTTTTGCAAAAGGGTTCAAGTCTATTCAAGTCCCATTAAACATCTTTAAAAGGCCAATACCTTATTTTCAGGTGTGCATGAAAATTAGAGATAAATATATATTGCCAGCACATTACAAAGACCTATCTTCCATCTATCCCTGACTAAGAACAGAGTTGTGAATTAAGGTGAAAGAATGAGCATGGGGATATTTGATGAATAGCTGACCATTGAGAATCAAATGCAAAAAAATGCATTGCACAATGAACAGTAGAAGTGCATGTTTAATGTGACAACTCCAGGGCAGTTGGGACTTGAACCAGATCTTTTGGACCAGAGGTAGGGAGACTACCACTGCAGTACAAAGTGATACATACCAGACAGAAGGAAGAATCAGCCAAAAATGGAACAACCGAACTATGTTCAGACAGGTGTATGTCTACTCCCTGGTACAGCACTTGGCACCATCAATATGTGAAGATCACTTTGTGAATGAGGATTATTCCACTATAGGTGAATAATCTACTATTAAAACCATTACTTCTGTCATTCACTGCAGATGAGTGATTGATCAATTTTCCTCATCCTAACATTTGTGAGCTAAGACTACTTGAGACACCTGTTATTTGCTATGTAAGAATATGCTCACAGTCACAATATCAGACAACAACACAAACAATTAAAGTAGATGTTTCACTCACTTGAAGCAGACTGAAGGGCACAAATAGTACCTTTGGTAACTTTAGGAACTTAGTATCAAAAGAGCATTGTAGAATCCTTGAAATCATCTTTGAAAGTAATTAATTATACTATTCCTTTTTGGTCATAGGCATTTCTAAAATACTTATGAAGACACAAATATTGTATCAGTTTCCATAGACTGCACTTGAGTAGTTACTAATAATCATGCAATGCTGAAGTTATTAGACTTTAATTAAATACACTGTTGGCCCCAATAATTCAAGACGTTATAAATAGACAATAAAGTTACCGCATTTGTAAATTTTCCAAGCTTTCAGACATTATCCTATATAGTTTCCTTTTAAAACTTCACTAATTTACATCTCTATCCTCCTGAAGGCACTGTGACAGTGTGGTGTCCACATGTGTTATTCATGTATGAAGCTTGACAGCATGCATATCACGATGCTTCATACTGGGTTACCAGAGCTGAGGATGTCACAATCTCACTTTACTTGCATGCACACACACACATGCACGCATGCACACGAACCCACAATGGCAGGGGTCACTGGAGAGTGGAAGTCAATTTTTTCCTAAAACATAGAAGCAAGAGATAAAATTGCAGGACCTTCTATTATCTTTTCTATGATCAGTTAAAATCCTAAAGAGTATGCAGCACTGAAAGCAAATTTAAATGACAGAGCCTTTTGAAATCACCAATGAATTAGGTCAGGAAGAGTAATGAGAAACAAGGCAACAATTTAAGTACTTCAAGTCAGTAACTGGACAAATTGTGCTGTATACTTTTTAGTGCAGATAAGTATGTAAAGTCTTTGGTATTTGAAAAAGGAATTGCAAATACCATTTGAAAAAAAACGGCGATACATTTTACCAATCATAAAAGAGATATTCAGCTGAATTATCCCAGGTCCTCAATTTCATGAGCAATGGCAAGTTAGTGAAGAAGAATGATGAGAACAAAAAATAAGATTATTAACATTAAGAAAAAAGTTTGATTTCATGCATAAGGTTTCAATGACTTGATAAAAAATCTTGCTAGTGAGTGGCCTTGGGCTCACTGGCACACAATAAGATCTCAATATTACCAAATACAATTCATTTGTATTCAGTTTGCAATCTTCCACAGCAGCAGAGAGAAATTGGACAGTGACAAGTCCTGACACAAAATTCAGAGCAGGTACCTGGCGGTTGCAGCTCATCGACGGAGGCTGGCATCAAGGCACATCACCATCTCACTTCTAATACACTGCCCCACTTCAATATTGCACCTTGGAGCTCACTGGCACCTTACATTGCAAAGGTGTTCGGATCACTTTACACACAAGCATAGCTACTCATCTCATGCACCTCAGGGCTCTTAGCTTGCTTTCTAAGTGTTCACTCAATTTTGTACCTGTTTGGATGCTTACAGAATCTCTGCCTTGCTTTGTTTTCTTTTTGCGCATTGCTGCCTCATTCAGAAATTACAGATGTCTTCTGTCTCACCTTGCATTTTAAGTTTACCAGCTATAGTCAGTGAAAGGAGCAGACTTGTTGGTGAATAGTATGTTATCTGCTTCCTCCAAATGACCTTGTCTAAGAGGAGTAGTCATTAGTCAAGTGCAGGGGGATGCTATTAGTCAAGGAGTACCCACCATAGTCAATAAATATCATCAGCTGATATCAGACCAGTGGCCTAGACAGGAGTGATCAAGGTCAGGGTTTTCATATTATTACAATTCAGGGAGTGAGCCATGGGTCAGTTCTGCAGGTCCAATGAAACCAATCTGCAGAATAGCAGTAAGTCAATCCGGGAGATGTACAGATATCGTCTGGTCAGTAATTCCAGGTGAGTCAGGGGAAAGGTCCACACTCAATCCTGGGATCTGATCACAGAAAGTCAAGGCGGGCTATTAGGTGCCACTGCTCTGTTGAAAAAGTTAGAGAAGTCACTTATGGGAATAGGAGGCAGTATGCTGGGCAATAGAGGCAATAATAATTGTGAAACAGGTAACTGAAAATATAAGGGTGGGAGACAAAAGACCATTGCACAGCACCTGATACTGCCAGAGGGGAAGTCATTGTTGGTTACTATCACCCTGGTTTCAACAGGGAATGCAGTGCAAAAGATATTTGGCATAACTAAGCTCTAGGTTTGGGGTCAAGAGGGTAAAGTGGTGAGAGAAGCTAAATAAAATAGTTGGTTGGCAACATGGGAATCTCAAACCTGATGGGAGTGACAGAGAGAGCAAGACAGAAGGAAACACAAAGTTTGGGGGTTCACCTACACTAATACACCAAACATACAGCTCATTCTGTTGCCTTCTACCATCAACCAAATGACAAATGTGCAATGGAAATGAAAGATGGCCCAGAGTGAGTTGATTGTGTCCGATGGAGTGGCTTCTTCCTTGTGAACAATGTGGTGCCTTCAAGAGGAAATTACATAAATTACATGGTACAGGATGAAGACAGCTGTATCACAGCATTCTGCAGGTGAACCTCATGCAGTGACCATGTCAACTAAAAATTCTGGCTACAAACCACAAACATACTGATGTCTCAAGCAGATGTAATTACAGGCTACCTTTCAAGTATCACCTGTAGACCATAACTCACACTTTCCAAGGTTGCATTGTCTGCATTAGTTCATAGAGACCCTCTTGAACTGTAAGTATTAGTCAATATGTTATTATATGCAATGCTCCTTTCTTGAGTGATGTGGCATCAAGGTTTCAGTAAAGCTATGCCATTTACAATCTCCTATTGTATTTTCATGACCTGGGTTGTACTGCTTCCATCTGAATAAGGTCTATCATGTCAAAGGGCCATGTAAAGGCATCCCATGACCTCCTTATTAAAGGTATCCATGTCCCATTGTATAGAGGACCATTGCAGATTGTCATTTGAGTGTGCTGCAACTGCTGACTGCTCACATTATTAAGAAGCAATTTTGTTTCTGATATTCCCCACATTGGATGCAGCTGCAGAAAGGGTTATCTTTAGTGTGGTCACTGCATCATGAAGGCTCAAAGAAATGGAGGAGGAACAGATGCAGCAGGAAGCTTAGGGCCACTAGCAACTTCCAGCAGTTGAACAGTGTCCACAAAAATTCATCACAGGACAGGTATCCTCAGGATGAGTTGGTGGTACAGAAGGCCCAGAGCCTATTGTCCTTGATGTAATTTCTTCCAGATGAACAAACATTGTCACTGCCATACGAGGATGTCCCAGGACAAGACATCTGCTGGAGCAGGACTTGTGACCTGAAGGGGTGGATGGCCATTTGCTCCCAGTAGCCTTCAAGGTAATGGCAACACTAACTTTTATACAACTAGCTGCTTCCAAGGAACCACTGGGGTCCTGTGTGGTATCTCTGAATCCTCACCCAGAAACGTATCAAAGCTGTTACCAATGTAATTTGTGTCAGATCACACCATTTCATCTCATTTCCCTGTGACAAGGTCAATACTGTAGCCTGAGCTTTGCCAACATAGCTGGCTTCTCCCACGTGCAGGGCATCCTCACGGAGCAGATAGTAGGCATCCTGAAGATGCAGTTCCGATGCATGGATCAGTACACTCCAATGTGCTGCATGGAAACAAAATGCTGGAGAAACACAGCAGGTCTAGCGAAGACAGAAACATTTCTCATTCCACAGACGTTGGTAGTCCTGCTGAGTTTCTTCAGCAATTGTCTGTTTTTATTTCAGATTCCCATCATCAGCAGTATTTTGCTTTTCTTCGAGCGTGCCACATAATCCGAGCATGCTGTGCTCTGCATAAATGGAGCAGGGAATGTGATGGATGCCGAAGAGCTGGGAGAGTGGCAGCAGTCTTCTGAGGAGAAAAATGAGGCAGAGGACTCAATTGACACCCGCTTCCTGTAGATCTGTGTTGAGTAATCACTCATTGACTGTAAGTTAGTTGCTCGAAGGTCAAACAGGTTTAGTTCCAGAAACAAGTGTGGTTTCTTTTTTAAATTGTTTTTTTCCCCTCACATTTCCTGCTGTTTTAATAGACAGTGCTCAGGGTCCTGTATGTAGTTCCTACTCTGACTGGGTGCCTACAGATACCACCCTGTCCCCTTGTGAGAAAGGAGCACCTGTCACACCTAGCAATGATGTCAGCCACTAATGACTAAAGCAATGGAGTGCAGTTCCGCAAACACCTCCAGTTATCAATGAGCATTTTGCTGGACGTGATCTGGACGGGTAGCTGGCCGATGGCGACAGCCACTTGCAGGCATGCCAGTCCAGCATGGTATAGATGGCATTGGTGGATTCCTCCAACCTTCAATCCATTTTCCTAAGTGTCTCCAATAGACCTGCCTTCTGCAATTGAATGAAGTGATTAAAGGCTGATACCATGCCTCAGCCAGCTGTGGCAACATGCTAATGAAGTGCTCACCGGAGTGTGCTCCCCCACAATCTAGCTAACGGACCCACTGAGGTGTCAGTAGCTGAGCTAGTACAAATTGCAAGAGACAGCTAGTGATTCCTCTAAAGGAATCTGTTCATTCTTCCTCAGAGGTGGAGGTGATGTGTGATGTCTGGGTGGCTGGTTTTTCATGACAGAGGCTGTGTGGACACCTCTCATGCCTGCACAAGACAAAGGGGAGTAAGGTCAAAATAGGGGCAATGTTAAGCATGTTAAGAATATGTTCATAGTGGCTGTAATGGGAAAGGAGAACAGCACATCACAATGAATCTTATTCGCTTGCCAAGACGTAAAAGGTCCACGAGGATCTCCAGGACCCTGTCAGCAAAGCTGGGGTGTCAACCTGCCTCTATTGGCCAATTCTGGAGCAAATTTTTCAAATGCTGAAACTGTGAAGGGTTATTCCTGGGTTCCAGTGTATGAACTGGTAGATGGCTGGGCTTTAACTGTGGGGCAGGAAACTAAAAGACGCTGGCAGATTTTGAGTACAACCAATGCCACTGAGCACAAGATAGCGTCAGAGCAGCACTATGGAGATGTGGCACATACTTAACGAGGCTAGCTTTGTAAAATCACGCATGAAAACTCACTGGAGCTCATGGTGAAGAACCCTCAATGAAACTTCTCAAAAATTAACATTCAGCCAAATTTAGGAAAATTTCAGCCCAAAGTGTCATATGTTTTAGAGCTAAAGGATTTCAGCATTAGAATTTTAATTGGATGCTCATTGGGAGAAAAGTCCTAATAAACATCGATAGAATGGAAATCACATGCTTTGGGTAATTAGCCTTCAAAAGGTAAATTACACTTACTGGGTAAGGTTTTAGCAAAGATTTGTACCTCGGGTTGGAGGTGAGGTTGATGACTTGCTCGGCGAGCAAACCAGCCAGCTCAGCGAGCAATTCAACAACCTCACTTACTGGATAAAAAGTCAGAGTTAAAGGTTGAGAATCATAAAATGGCACATGGTCTTGCATAGCTGTAGAACTGGAGACATGATATCTGCAATGATTCCAGTAAAAGACATGTTCGTCATATGGTTTTCCACAATTAAAGAAAGCTATGATATTTGGCAGTAAAATTTGGTAAATTTGCATTTAAGCCTGGGACAGATCACATGCATCATTCAATATGGATATCAGTGATGCTGACTGAGAGTCTTTGTTTTGAATAAGTTCCGAAAACGCACAGCCAAGAGGCCAGACTGGTTTATGTTTGGTAATGATCAGGTGCTTGTGGACACTGTGGAGAGTATTTCAAGGACAATGACCACCCACAGGTGGATATCCTGACACAACTTATTTTGTATGATCACATATGATAAAAGATGACCTGACCCAGATACTGAAAGACAACCATAGCTCTGCAGAAGGTCATTTATGAGACACATAGAAAACTGGCACATAAAATACACACAATATACCACCAGAAACTCCAGGAAAGTGTCATAAATTCCAGAAGACTCATGTAACTTACTTTTCTTCCCTTTAATGGAAAGAATAACATTGCTGGGACAGTCTCTGGCTGATTCCTTCACTGTTAATGCTTGATATTCAAACTTAAACCTGCTAATCTGTTCAAAATAAGCAAACACAAAAGATTGTTTTGCAGACCCAATGTTTGCAGGATTTGAGTAACCCCACCCCAGTCACACAATGCAGAGTAAAATGCTTGAGGCAATTATGTGAAATTTTACTGGACAGATACATAGACAGTACAAAATAAAAATTAATTTTATAATAATGGTTACATTAAAAAGGTACATTTCAAATCGTTTCACAATCTATAACCATATATATCATGTTGAATTATTATTTTTATACAGCACTGGATGCAATAATACATTTTACATGAAATACATTTGCCTTCCCTCCCTCAGTAAGGTTCACAACAAGATGCACAATTAAACTTCACGTGACAGCAATGTACATTAGTTACAAGTAGCTCAGCCACGTGCGAACCTAGTAGTTGTCCAAAGATTCTAACATGAGAAGTGACATATCATGTTTGTGTCCCATTTGAATTATTAAAGGGAACATTATACATTAAAAAAAATGAAAGACAAACCAAGTTTTTCAATTAAAAAAAACCATACTTCTGTTCTCCATGGTATGTTTAATACTGTCAGAGAATGGAAACTCCGATAATCTGATCAGCTTTCAAGGCTCAGTGTGAAATAAGTAGGAAGATAATGTTTTCACATGTTGTCAGGTTAGTCTGACTGAGTAGTGAGAAATGCTTCTTAATTATTTACATTTAATTTTTTTTAAAAATCCCCATTTAAAACAAGTCACTGCTGTTCATTCTAGACAATAGGAACTTGATAATTATCATGTGTTCAAAATCAGCAGTCACACAGACCAAATGTTGACATAAACTTTTTGCACAAAACCCATTTGAACTTCACACTGCCATCTAATTATCCAGATTAATCCAAATTCACATTTCACTTCAACAATTAGTGACAATAGTTCCAACCGTATGTTGTGATAAGTATTCCTCCAAAACATTGCTCCCTTCTTGCATTGAACGTACATCATGAGAGAGAGAGTCATGTGACACAAATTACGGTCATGCAACACAATCGAACTACTACATTTGTTAACGGAACCTTGAAGATTCCCATAATGGAAACTAAATACTTAGGAAAAAAAAAACAAACGGCAAATGCTCATAACCCGAAAGAAAATTTGACATTCATAGAAACATAGATTGATGTGGCACACGTGAACGCTATTCGGTCTATCGCACTTGTGCCTGCTCTTTGGTGAGGGTATTCAATACATCTCACACCCCTACAACTGTTTCCCTTCAAGTATATCCAAATGCTAGGAATTCACAGCATGCTTGTCCCTACCTTTAAAAATATAAAACATTTCTGGAAAAGACTTTCAAATGAGTCCACACTAAAAAAAAATTTAAACATCCTTTTCCATTTAAGTCACGATTTGCCTGAATTGAATGAAACATACTTTGGTTAAAATTACAACTTTGATGTTTCTTACAAAGTTGCAAAAATTTCAGAATTTTTTTTCTTAAATGGGACTGCAAAAGAGGTTAAAATCTTCAAAGGATGTTGTTTAAATCACACATATCTTCAAAACTGAACCAACCAAGTACAGTTAATACCCAAATTGCATTATATAAGTTGACCTTTATCAACCCCATTTTCCTGTCCTCCGGAAATAATTTTTTGCCTATGTTCACTGTACAAGTCAAGCACCATTTTTGGAGGGATTTTCAGACTTCAAAGTCTAATTTATGTGTTGACTGTCATGGTTAAAAATACATCCTTCAAAGACACAAACCATCCTGACTTGGAATTATTTTGCCATTCCTTCACTGTCAATTGGTCAAAGTCATGGGAATTTCTTCCTAACAGCAATGTGGGTGAACCTACGCCATATATCTGAACCTATCGTCCCACCTCCAGCTCTAACAGTTCAAGAAGCAGTTCACCAGCACCTTATCAACAGCCATTAGAAACAGGCTCTAAGTAGACCAAACCAGCAATGCCCATGTCACATGAAGGAATTAAAAATAAAATTGCCAGAAATGAAAACAAAAACTTTCCTGTCATAGAAATCCTGAGGAACAGTACCTGCTTAAATGATAAAACCTAAATTTCTCCTCCAAAGTGAATTAATATGCTACATGTAGAGTTGCTCAAATCAAATTAAACAAGTGGCATAAACAAATATTGCGACACAAGTTTACATAAATTTGGCACAAAATTTAGTCCAAAATTATTAAGAATAAAACAATGCATGTTCTGGATATTAAGTTACAATAACATATTTTTGTCATGTTCACATAACACATCCAAATAAAAGCACCATAATTTCACTGCAATACACAACTTATACTGTAACATAACCATCCAACTGCCCTAAGCTTCAACCTGGGAAGGGATTCCAACGCAACCCAACAATCTGAAAAATCACTTTCAACAGATCATATTCCACATGATACACTGAAATGTAAATTTGAGAGTCATTCTAAATCAATGTTTGAGGGATCTGTCCACAGTGTTTAAAATCACTCCATTTCCTAACATGATCTCCTTGCTTCATTAAACTGTAACTTACATGAAATATAATGCAGGGCTATCATAATACAAAAGATTTAAATAAAAACTCTACACACCTCAATAATGCCATTAATTTTCCTTCAATAATTTGCTTTCAGTCAACACAACTAGAAGCCACAACTAAACACAAAACACCTTCTAGAACCAGCCTTCGGTTTCATTCATGAATAACGACAAGTAAAAACAAATATGCTTCTGGCAGTCACTAATCATGTAGTCTTTTACAGTGAAAGACTACACTAATGATTACTCATTTAATGATGGCAATTTTCCATGGCCATTACAACTTTTACATAAAATCAGAAACATTATTTGATCAACAAATCTGCCGAGATGTAAATGAGCTAAATTATACTCCAAACAAGTTGCTGTTTACCTGCTTCCTTGAAAAGTAGGTCTGGAATCCACTGTGGACGTAAACAGAAATTTTAACTGTAAACAGAAAATGATAATCAGCAAGCAAAAAAGGTTATTATCTCAGGCGTGGCCCTTTGTCCAAACCATGTTCAAGTCTGATTTATCTGCAGAATTTTCTTTTTTTTATTTGAATAACTGCTGTGGTCAGCTTCATGATTTCACCCTTCTAAATGAATAAGAGTTTGAAAGCTTTATAACATTAATAGAAGAAATTATAAAATGACTTCTTTGTTGTTCTAATGAGCATGCCATCCACCTCTCTAAAAACAAATTATTCACTACACTAAATAACAATTTAATTAATGCATCAGCTACAAATACTAAGCACTACTGCAAGCACTGAATGAAAAGCAGCATGTACCATCATCACCAACTTATTAAAACCTACATGACCTATTATTCACAAGTATGGTTTATATTGTTGATATGGAATTTAGCTTATTTGCAACCTGCACTACATGACCGAATTCATCCCAGTACAGTTCACAGAATAATACTGCAGTAGAGTTTATAGCACTGATACCAGTAGACACTTATTAATGTTAAAAAAAACTTGCCAACTTTTTTTTTTAATATCAAGCCGAGGGAAGTCAGTGTTAAGGAAGAGAATGTATTGTCCTGTTAAAAAGCAATATGAACACCAAATATTGCCAGGTTGAGAAATCACAGAATAAAGTTCCCTCCTCTGTGCTTCAAATGGTGATCTCGAAATCAAACTGACTGTGCATTTACACATGGTTCCCTTTCTCTCATTCCAATCATTCGGTAGCTCCAGGAGTGAGACTGTCAAACATGTGGAGGCAAAACACTAGCAACTTAGTACTTCAGTCTCACATCAAGCAGGAAGTGGAATGAGGGTTTCTATTTCATTTAGAATCGTTCAGTCAGCAGAGAGATAGGAACTCCAAATCATGAACTTGGTTTCAATGCAGGAAAAATAACAAAATTAAGCAGCTGATGGATGATCATTCTGTGTTAAGCTGTGTAAGATTTCCTACAAGAGATAACAAGGTGTAGAGCTGGATGAACACAGCAGGCCAAGCAGCATCAGAGGAGCAAGAAGGCTGACGTTTCGGGCCTAGACCCTTCTTCAGAAAATGAAGAAGGGTCTAG